TTAAATATTAATAATTATCTTTTTATCACACAATAAAAAAAATTTTAAAAAGAGTAAACAATACTTTTCATATTCCATTTATATTAAAAATATATATTTAAAATATCAAGTGAAGTACATACAAAAAACCATTTTGTATATATGAACCAAACTTGTGAATAACCAAAATTTTGAAAAAATGACAAATAAATATTTTTCAATTTAAGAGACACTTACTGAGATTAAAAACTTTAAAACCTAAACATAAACTTGAACAAAAATAATTGATAAACTTACTTCCTTTTTTGTATCAATTGTAGTCTGACAATAACAACAATAAAAAATTAATTATGAAATCTTTTTAAATTAAAAGAAAGTGAAATGAGCAACAAAAGGAAACATTAACAAAAACTTCTCTATCCAAATAATACAATTGATTCATGTATTTATATTGAAACAAGTGCATTTTATACATCAAAACAACTTAATATTAGTGTATAAACAACACTTTTAATAACAAAAATGGTAAACTTTGGCATGCCTAAAAAAGTCCATTAGTATGATAGACAATTACAATCGCATTTCAAAAGTTTTAATGAACATCACACTTAATAAAATATTTACTTACAATTATATTTAAATAATACCAAAAATGTGTTTTGATCGTTAACTATAGTTTTTCCAATTTTTAAAAACATTTTTACTCAAAATATTTTTTTGTTAAAAATATGCCAAAACTAAAATATAAATCGACACAAATTGGAGATTGCCACGGTGTTGGTTTCTAGACAGACTTTTATGTTATTTAAACATTCATAATAATTTTTTGCATTTTTTAAAATATTGTTTCTGTAATATATTCAGTTAATTCTTATATATGTATTGTTTTTTTAAATGGTATTTTTTATGACTTTTATTATATTAATTGTTGTGCTCTGATTATGTTTATAAAAGAACAAGTATTTTTTATTTAATATTTTCTTCTACAAATTCAAAATAAATCAAGTTAATAACATTTTACATTGTTGTTTCTTTTTTTACAATTTATATAAATTACAATTAAATTTTTATTCTTTTGTGTATTTTTTGCCCCCATACCAACAATTAAAAAAGATAACAACAAAAAATTATTTTGTTAATTTTCATTTCTTCCCATATAATCTTCGAGTTCTACCACGACTTCGTCAATTTTGATTCGATCTTTAAAATCAAAGCACCACATTTTATCGAGCAGTGAATATATCAAGTCGTCAGTTTCGATAACTTTTTTCAAGTGATTTCCTTTTGACACGAAGTTTGCGATGCACCAAGCAAATTTGAATTCACTTTTTGGGTATGGTTCTTTCCAAGTAAATGTTTCGTACATAGTAATAGCAAACGAAAAGATATCACTCGGCATTTTATATTTTTCTTTATTTAACACTTCAGGAGACATGTATTTTGGTGTACCAATTCCCTTTGTGAAAGTCATATTAGTCATCATCATATTAATGTTTCTCGCACTTCCAAAATCAGTCATTTTGGCATTAACTTTTTCATTCATTTCAAGTGAAAACACAAGTAGATTATCTGGTTTTATATCTCGATGTACAATGCCATTGTGATGTAAATAAGATATCCCCTTCGCCATGTCTAACATGAATTTAACTATAATTGCATTTTGTGGTGCTTGTTCCTTTCTCTTCTTCATAAAGTCGTTTAAACTCCCAAACTGAGCAAATTCGGTGACCATACAAATTCGACTTGGTATGAAAACTGCACCATAAAAGTGGACGATGTACTCACATCTGAATTTATCTAACATTGCAACTTCCTTCTCAAATTCTTTTACTTTAGATTGTGTCTCACAACCCTCTTTTAACCGTTTAATAGCTACTTTGTCACCTCTGAAGTCGCCTAAATAGACAATTCCAAAACTCCCTTCGCCAAGTTTCTTAATTTCTTTTAACTCGTGATAATCTAGTTTAGTTGTCATTTCGGTCTTGGCTTTGATTTGAATTTGTTCAGTCATCTCTACTCCCTTTTTAATATCTAAACCTATGCACACAATTTTCTCTTCTATGTTACGGGAACACAATGGTGTTAAAAAGACTTCAAATTCACAGGCCTCGCCACTCTTTAAATTCACAAGTTTCGGCTCTGTGCGAATTTCGTAGTAGTCGCACCCTTTAATAACACTAAATTGAATCTTCATGCGATTTTTGGATTTATTTCCTACACATAACAATTCACGAGTTTCTTTATCGACGGGAATACTTTCATTTTGTGTGTCGTTATTCTCAAATTCTAAAACCTTTCTATTTGAAACAAGCCACTCATTGATTTTGAAGAAATGGATGTTCGACTTCTTCATTTGGAAGACGCAGATGTTGATCATTTTTTTCTTATCTTTGAGGTGCAAATACAATAAAAAGATGATTACTAAAGTCAGTGCAATAAATATCACAAAAAGTAAGAAAAAGACGACGGGAAGCGAAATGATCAAAGCCAAATTAGGTTCCTTTTTACACAAAAGACCATCATCACTTGGTTTGTATTTTTCTTCACATTTTGTGCACAAATTATTAAAGGCTTCTACACAATATGGAATTTCGGTATAACTCATACAGATTTCATTTTTCAATACAAAACCCGAAGTACATAATATACAACTTTTAAGTACTTCACAAGAAGTACAATTATTTATACATTTAACACAAAAGGGAATTGGTGAATTTAGGAAATACCCTTCTTTACATTCTTTACATCCATACTTCGTCTTGTTGATACATCCACTTAAAGTGTCATAACTTTGACATAAAGGATTTAAAGGTGCATACAAAAAGTAGTCATCTGCACAGTCATCACATGAAATTGAATTTTTGCATTTTGAACATGACGAGTCGCACGCTATGCAATCTTTGTCTTGGTAGTAATATCCATCATGACATATAGCACAACCAACGTTTTTCGCCATTGGAACTTTACATTTATCTAGTAATATTTTTGAGTCTTTACACACATTTCCAGACATTAACAATAAGTTCTGTGAATAGTCACAGGAAAGACAATTAGTCAGATTTGAACACGTCAGACAGTTGTTTATACATTTAACACATTTTGTGTTTTCCAAGTAAAATCCATCATTACATTTTACACATCCTTTCGGTGTTTTTACTTTACAATTTGAAACTTCGGTTTTCGAGATTTCTTGTTTATTAGCAGAGGTAAATGTTTTGTTTGTTGTTTGGTGAATGACTTCTTTATAATCAATATTTGTTGTATAAAAAGTAGTGTGTTGGATATTAGTCTTAAGAAGTGATTCACAGGAATTAGCAAATAAAAAGTGTGTATGATCGCACTCAAAAATAGTTTTGATGTTTCGTTCGTCCAGTAAAATGTAAATCTCGTTGTTAGATAAAGGAACGCAATATTTTTCATTTTCAATTGTGGTGGTGTTATTGTTATTTGTATAGAAAAGTGGGAAACATTGCAAACACGCGAATTTGTTAGAATGTTCACAATGCAACTCTTTTTTTGCAATACATTTGTTTTCAACAAGAAGAAAGTTGCCTTTGCATTGTAAACACGTGCAGTCTTTCTTGTACGACTCACATTTTTGAATTGGTGTGCATTGTGTGCACTTGTTAAATTTGATCACCATATTCATATCACGACATTGAGTGCAGTCACTTCTTTCATTTTGAATACATTTGGCATCACTAAAACATTTTTCGTTTTGGTAATCAATCAAATAATTTTTATCACAATTAAATATGTGAATTGATGGATTTGGGTGTGTTGTTAATGAGCACTTCAATGAGTTTTTAGTTTCACACTTTTCACAATTATTGTTGCCATTTTTGTACTCGTTAACACCACATTGGTACACATACCCACTTCTTATATTTTGGTTGGTTGGCGCCAAACTACACATGTTGTTGTCAACATAGTGATTGTCAACACAATGCAGACATGTTTCTATTGTTTTGTTTTGTTTGTTGTATTTGCATTGTTTTATCCTATTTTCACAAGGCGAACCAACAGAAATGCCATATTGGCAATTTTCGCAATTTGATATTGAATAATATAGACATTGTGCCGAATGTTCTATACACGCACTCTCACTTAAAAACCCGTTTTCTTTGCATTTGACACAAGTTGTTGAATTAACATTGTTCACACACATCTTGTTGTTGTCAACACACGTTTTGATTCGGTTGTTGTAATACATCCCCGTTGTGCAACTCACACAGCTCCCCCCTTTCAATTCAAATGGATAAAAACACTCATTGCATTGGATTTGATATGTTAAAGTGCTTGTGCAACTTTTGCAATTGTCTGCGCCTATGTAACACTTTCGACACGAATTCAAAGTGTTTTGATATTGTTGTGTTGGGCAAACACAAACACCATTCGATGCAATAAACCCGTTAATACAATAATAACAAAATCTTTTTGTATTTAAACAGCCATTAGTTTTACAGTTTGCAATTTCAGTACATTTTACACATTTTCCATTCTCAAAGAAGTACCCTATGTTGCAATTGTTACAATATCTTGATGTGGTTAAACATCCATTTTGTGTACAGCCTTCAATAGTTGTGCAACTAAAACAACTTTTAGATTCGGCAAAATAACCAGTCACACAACGAACACATACTTTACTTTGTGTGCTACACCCACTTGTATCACAATTTGCGATTTCAGTACAACTGTGGCATGTCCCACTCTCTGCATAAAATCCCGTGTTGCATCTTAAACAAGCATTTATACCATCACATCCTTGTACACATTGATAATAACAAGACTTACACTGATATACATTACGATTTTGATAATTTCCAGAGTATGTTCGAAAAAACCCATTATTGCATCCATAACACTGCCCATTCAAACCTCCATAACAAGACGAGCATCCACCGTAACAGTTGTAACAAACCCCATTTTGAACGTATTGGTTTGTACGTGGACAAGATGTGCAATAATTTTGATTTATGCAATTTGCACATGCAGAAAGACACGCCAGAACACTCAGAGATTTATCAAGGTAATAATGTGCCACACATTGATCGCATTTTTTGTCTGGGT